AAAAAAAAAAAAACAAATCTTAGTAAAACCAATACCTTCTCAGCTTCGCATCGAAGCTAAAAAAAAAAAACAAAAAACAAAAAAAAAACACACATCTTAGTAAAACGAATACATTCTCAGCTTCGCATCGAAGCTAAAAAGGAATTTATTTACGTACTGCAATTAGTATACCACCACCACGAAAACATGAACTGCTTAAAAATGAACGGTCATAGCGAAAAACATAATAATTCGTGAGACCAAGTTCACTGAATAAAATGAGTCATTTAACCAAGTTTCTATGGGAAGTATAAAAATAAAATCAAAACATGCAACATTACACTTAAAATTAAATAATTATGTACGAAGTCCTCGATAATTTTGTTAGAAACCAAAAGAGTTTACATCACCAGGTGTAGATTTCTTGAGTTGGAATTGCCGTTTTATGAACGTCATATCATAATTGAAGGAATTCCAATTAATGTAAGCTATAGTTAAGTCTTTCTCACCTTCGGCAATTTGACGATCAAGTTCATGATGATACGATTGAAGAAGTTTACGTTCAAGAGGAGTTTTATCACAAACAATATTGAATGTTGAGATGACGCTGGGGATAGACTTCTTAGCATAAGAGAAAGAGGATAAGACGTTTAATGCAACTTCTCTATAACTTAATATAATTTTTAGCGGTCGAGAAGAATTGGTAGAAACTTTACCCAAGTGGATCAATTTAAAATCAGGTGGTAATGAAATCGAAAAGGGCTCTTGTTCAGATTTCAAATGTTTAATGTCATCAATAACCCGAGCAAATACGACTGAGGAAGTAGATTCAGGTACACCATGTGCAATAAATTCGAAGCAATAGAGTTCATGATCGGATAATTGCTGAATGATTTTTGGGACGAATATAACATGGCCAATTTGAGGAGAGCGTTCTAAATTTTTAACTTCATCTTTGAAACTCGAAATTTCTCTACGTAGAGTATAATTTTCAGCTTTGAGTTCAGTTATATAATGAAAATTATACAAAAATGTCAAAATGGGGATATCTATCTCTGTAATTTCTTCCTATTTGACTGCCACTATTGTTAATAATTAACTAAAAAATAGTTGTCAATAATGAGTTTCTACACCAAAGCATCGATTTTTTTTTTAATATTGTATTTAAATATATTTGTATTTAATTTTTTTTTTTAGGAGAAGAACCAATTCTAATATATTCATCATTACGTCAAATAAAATCGTATAATCTGGTAACAAATAAAAGCTTAATACTCGTAGATAAATTACAACAAGCAACTGGTATAGCAATGGATGACATAAGTATTTACTGGACTATCATATACGATGGATCTCAGGCTATTGTTCGGGCATCAAAAAAAGAAGAAAAAAAACCAGAAATCATTGTAACTTCCGGTACAGTAAATATTACTTTTTTATCATGAAGTATATTGTTTATAATGATGTGTGTTACTGAATTTAGGACTCGGTACACCAGAGAACTTGGCTATAGATAGTATAACACGTAATTTATACTTTACTGATGCTAAAATGAAACACATAGGAGTTTGCAATAATGATGGAACAGTTTGTACTGTACTTCATAATAAAGATATTGATAAGCCTAGGGCAATAGCTGTTTCGCCAGACGATGGGTAAAAATTTAATTTATATGTATATTAACTAACGAAATATTAAATAATTTTTTTAATTAATGAAATTAAATCAATCAAAAATAAATTATAATTTCTGTAAAATCGCCTTGAAATTTATGTTAAAGAATTGATTGATTTTTTACAAGTATGATTTTTTTAATTTACACATGTTTATTTTTAGTTACATGTATTGGTCAGATTGGGGAGACAGGCCCATGATTGCAAAATCTGGTATGGATGGGTCTCAACCAACACCGTTTATTACACAAGATATACATTGGCCTAATGGAATACATGTTGACTATTTGGGTAAAAGAATTTATTGGGTTGATGCTAAAATGCAAATGATAGAATCTTCAAAATTTGATGCTAGTGATCGAAAAGTATTTATATATGTTTTTTAAATTATTTTACAATGTCATCATTATATAAATAAAAATTTTTGTACATATGATAAATTCTGAACATATATACAAGATGAAACAAATTTAACTGACAACTCATATAGCTTATAATCTACATAACATTTTCTACTTTTTTTCAAACTAATTTTTAACAATATGGGACTATATTTAAAATATGTTTTATGTTATTTTTTGCAATTACAAAAAAAATTAATTTTTTTATTAAATTTTTCTTTAAGATTTCAATATAAGTTTCAAAGAAAAATATTAATACCAAAAAGTTTTATTCTAATTCAGTAGTCATGTTTTTATAGCATTTCGAATCTTACGATTTTTCTATAGTATCAAACGTTAGTCAATGTATGTAAAGAACAGGGAAATAAACATTATCCTTTTTTGTGTTATTTACTGGTGACAGTACACAATAAATTTCCCATGAAAAATAATAATGAATTCATTTTTAGAAAGTAGTGAACTAATAATACATATTGAATGACTGAAGTCCTCATCAATGTTTTTTTAATGTGAAATAAATTCTAAATTATAATATAAACTATTTTGTGGTTTAAAATTGAAATAATAATAAGTATGGCATTATTAAAAAAAACTTATGACAATTTATATATTTTTAGAAAGTTGGCCGTAGAGAAGCCCCTTCATTCACTATTGATATTTTAATATTTATAAATAAATCTTAACATATTTGTAATTTTCAAATTTTATTTTAATAGACTATATTAACCGAATCAGTAGAACATCCGTTTTCAGTAACAGTTTTTGAAGATAAATTGTATTGGAGCGATTGGTCTGGCAAAGAAATTAAAGTTTGTAATAAGTTCACTGGAAGAGGTGTTCATAGTGTTGTGCGTGAAGCAAAGACTAGAATTTATGGAATGCAAATTTATCATCCTTCACTATTCAAAGCTCAAGTAATATAATCAATGATTATGTATGATTATTAATCATACATAATCCAATCCTATACAGTGTCATTCGTTAAGAATAAGACACTCATTTTCTTAGAAACTATCCAATAATATGTTGTTAAATACATTTTTTTTTAAGGATAAAACTCCGATTTTCTTTAATGAAAATTTCTTTTGAAGAACTGTTTTAAATATTAATTTTTTAGTTTTATGGTATGATAGAAAAAACTTTTCAAACAATTTTGATCTTATTATTTGTTTTTATCCAATGAACCATTCTTCTGTTATGGTTTGGTTTAGTTTAGCGATCTCTAATCAATTTTCTATTGATTATTTGCTGTTTAGCACACATTAGTCATTATTTGTCAAAAGTAGACTTCGATATTGCCCATTATACAGAAATCTTATGTATGATAATCAGATATATTATTTTACTTATACTCGTATATTCAACGCAAGTTTATTATTGTAAAGTTCTATTATTGTATAAGATATATTTAGTTTTTGAAGAGTTAAAGTAAGNATATTATTGTAAAGTTATATTATTGTATAAGATATATTTAGTTTTTGAAGAGTTAAAGTAAGTTAAAGATAGCACACCTTAAAAAATATATTGCTCACCACGTAAATGAAATCCGTGATGTTACACACCTATTTAATATCATCCGTAAAGTCAGAAATGGGAAGTCTGAACAAAAAAAATTTTGCCATACAAATTTTGGTTATTTTAAAGCTAAAGTTTTGGTTGGGTAGTCCTTTAGGGCAATCTAGCGGTTGAGCTACATTAATGTAATCTATAAAGTGATATGGTTATCATAACTCCCATGACAAAAATAATTATATGGTAAAGATACAATTTTACATCGTTTGGAAAGAGAAATGAGAAATTCCCATATGGTAGGTTTTCTCTGGCATAAGCAATAGCTTATATGAAAAAAGACGTTAAATAATAAATGTCATTATAACAATTGATAATTTTATAATTCTATAAAATATATTTTTAAACAGATACATAATCCATGTGTCGAAGCAAAATGTAGTGATATTTGTTTGCTGGCTCCAAAGAAAAATGGAAGTACTAAAGGGTATATTTGCGCATGTCCTGATGATAAAATACTAACTCCAGGAGGATTTTTATGTGTTGATATTGCTTCACCTCCTACATTAATTGTTGGTACAACAAATGGTCTTTTAGAAGTAGAACATGAACACTTAGGGCGTCAAAAAATTATAGAAATACCATTAAAAAATAAAATACCAAGAATTTCTGCCCTGGTTTATAATTCACTAACAGGTATATTTATTTAGATAATTTATTTCTAAGACTAATTATTTGTTTAAAATGCTTTAAATATTTAAATTTTACCTTCTTTTTGTTTTTTAAAGGAAATATCATTATATTTGATTCAAAATCAAAAAAAATATCGACATATGATTTACTCAAAATGAAATTATCAGATTTAGTAACATCAGAATTAGGTGTTATACACTCATTAAAATTTGATAACCATGGAAATAATTTATATTGGTGTGACTGGACCAGAGGTACATTAAATGTTTTAAGTATGACCACAAAATCTCGAACAGTTCTTCTAAAAGAATTAGATGGACATATTCCTATTGCCGTTGCTTTAGTACCGGATCAAGGGTAAATTATAAGAACTTTAAGTATTAATTACAACTAATTTATGTGCAGTAACAATTTAACAATTGATTCTTTTAGATATATGTTTGTGGCTATGAAAGATGGGAGTCATCTCCATATAGATCGAATCAATATGGATGGTAATGTTAAAACACTTGTACATTCTGTTGAAGTTGGTTTACTTGAACAAGAGATTATTTTACATTTTGATACAGCCTCTAGAAGATTATATTTCACATACTTTCAAAATGGAATAATTGAAAGTGTAAATCAGGATGGTAAAATATATTTCTATTTTCTAATTTAAAAATAAAAAACAATGGGAAAGTGACATTTATGAGATAAGTACAATAATCTCATAGTACAATTGAGTTTATATTATATAAAGATAAATGTTTATGCTCTGGGATATTTATTTACTTTATCCCTCCGTAATTACGCCATTGATTTTGATTTTTTTTTAATTATATTTTCTCTCTTCTTTTTTGCAACATAGCATATAATTATGAATAATAAATTTAGATCAATATGAATTCAGTAATAATCTAATAAATCAATTTTTTAATAATTAGATTATTAATATTTTTGTCTTATCTGTCATATATTATTCTTCTAAATAGAAATAGAATCAACTTGCACAAATTCGAAGCTTTTCCATAAAATGCATACCATAAGTAAGGTAATTATCTCTTACGATAATTATGTGTTGCCAATATTAATTTCATAAGGATCAGTTAAAAAAAACAATATTTTTAGTAATTTAAAAATTCAGAAAAAAAATATTAAAGAAGCCGTTTTGACAGTAGCACAATATAAGATATTTTTCTATGTTTTAAAAATTAATAACCTTTTTTCAATTATTGATGCTGATTTTTAACTAGGATAAAATTGGGTTATTTTGACGCATTGGTCAACAAAATCAATCTAGTAAGAACTGAGAAATTAAATGGGCAGACATAAAAAATAATTATCAAAAATTGGTCGTCAAAGTTAAAACATAGTAATGTTTATAAAAAAAATTACTTTATTTTTAGTTTTTAAAAATGTTCCCAGACATCTGACAAATCCTAACCTATATTAATTTAAATTTTTTTGAACACGTTATTATTGAAAAATTAAATATGTTTTGACGATTTTTCTACTAAGAGAAAATGATTACTGATGTCAAAATACATTTTATTAAATAAATTTTTTTTATTGTGTATCACTTTGATTGTAATATTATTATTTTTTTTTTTGTGTTAATAACAAGTTTTACGTTGTTTATGTACTCAAAGTTAATATTTTTTTTTACCCTTATCATATTATCTATTTGTTGTTTAAGTTTCATAACTGTAAGTTAAACCAGAAGAAGTTATATTTGAAAGTTCAGGTTTTTTTTTTTTTTTGAAAATAACAATTATAACTTTAAATAAATCGGCGGTTAAACTTAATGAAACAGTTCCAAATTTTATAAAACTTTCACTAAACATCATAAAATCATATTAGGAATATAAAAAAATAATAATAATTTTTATTACACTTTTACTATGTTGTTATTCTAAAGCCAAATTCGGAATCAGCGTCAAAATTCCATATGGAATTCATATAAAAATTTTAAACATGAAAATGGCTGCTGTCCTGTGTAATTGTAGTACACAATAATAATAATAAACATTTGAATATTTTTAAACTCTAGGTTTGGATAGAAAAATCTTTAAAAATGCCGGATCAATAGTCGATATTGTTTCATTGGGTCATGAAATATTTTGGGTTGAGAGAGGATCAAAATATTTACATTGGATGGATAAAAATAGTGGTGATCAGTCATCACGCATGATTGAAATGGGTAAGTAATTTTTAGGGCTCATTTAAACAAAGTTAAATTAATTTTTATTTAACCTTAGATGTTGATAATTGGTTACCTGACTCAAAGCTGTGCTTAACAGCTGTGAATGGTATAGATAAAAATATACAACACCTGTGCTTACAAAATAATGGAGGTTGTAGCCATTTATGTTTAGTATCTGGGAAAGGAAAGGTTAATAATTAAATGAAAGCATAATCCTCATAATTACTTTTAACTAACGAGATATTTTTTTAATGTTTTGAATTATAGACTTGTGGTTGTCCTATTGGAATGGTTTTATCAGAAAATGGTCAAGATTGTATACCACTAAAACAATGTTCTTCTGACGAATTCCGATGTTCTACTGGAGAATGTATTTTGTCCAGATTTAGGTGTGATCGTAAAATTGATTGTCCTCATGGTGACGATGAAGATACCGTTCAATGTGAACACTTTGTCTATAATTCCTGTCCTAAATCACAATTCATGTGCCGTGATCAATCTCAGTGTTTGGACAAAAAATTATTATGTAATGGCATTAAAGACTGCACAGATGGATCAGATGAAATGACTTGTGGGCCCAAGCATTTGTGTGATCCAAGTAATATTTATACAAATAATTTATATTAAAGTATTTCGAGTAAGATAAAAATTACTAAAATTTATACTATAGCAACTGAGTTTTTATGCACAACTGGAGAATGTATTGAACAAAGATTTGTGTGTGATGGAAATTCAGATTGCAGTAATGGTCAAGATGAATATAACTGTCAAAATCATACGTGTCATCATTTAGAGTTTAGATGTAATTCTGGAACTTGTATTGCAGCAGCTTGGGAATGTGATGGAGAACCTGATTGTAGTGACAGTTCTGATGAACATAATAGTTGTCGTATGTTTTATTTAACTATTTTCAATGCAATATTTCAATTTTACTAAATGTGTAAATAATATTTACAAAATTTAATATATTTTTTTCAAATTTACAGATATAAAAAAATGTAAAGCGGATCAATATACATGCAGTAATGGTAGATGCATATCACATAAATTTACTTGCAATGGTAATGATGACTGTGAAGATAATTCCGATGAAATAGGATGTCCTCATAGATTTGCTTTTAAATCAAAACCGATAAAACATTGTAATGCAAAGAATGAATTTGAATGTGAAAATATTCATGGTCGATGTGTGCCAATAGAAGCAAGATGTAATGGAACATCAGAATGTAAATTCTTTGAAGATGAGCTGAATTGTGGATGTCAAAAAGAAGACTTTTTTGAATGTGGCAATAAACGTTGTGTTCCCAATGCTTGGCTATGTGATAAAACTGATGACTGTGGTGATCTAACTGATGAAAGTTCTAAAGCTTGTGAATTGGTAACCCAGCATAATCCTGTCGCTTTAGAACATTGTGATGGTTATTCATGTAAAAACAACGAATGCATTCCTTTTTATCTAGCTTGCAATCACAAAGCTGATTGCAAAGACGGGAGTGATGAAGGGGAATTATGTGGTAATATATATACAAATTTCTAAACTTAAATTATATAAAAATATAAAAAAAATAATTTGTTACAGGTTTATCATGTGGACATAGTAATTGTACTCATAATTGTCAAGAGACGCCTAAGGGCGGACAATGTATGTGCCATCACGGGTATCAACTCTCTTCTGATGGTATTACGTGCAAAGATATAAATGAGTGTGATGATATTAATACATGTGCTCAATTCTGTGCTAACGTTGACGGATCATATAGTTGCTCTTGTCTTAACCCTTACTATATGTTGAGAGCTGATAAACACTCTTGCAAAGCTACCGGTATTAAAAAAACATTTTTTTTTGTAATTTCTATATTATTATTATTGAATATTTTATTTTATTTAGGATCAAATATGAATATAGTATTTTCTGCTGGGAATCAAGTTAGAAGTACATCTGGTGACTTGAAAGAATTTAAATTAGTATTTTCAAATCCTGGAGTTCAAGTATCCAGTTTTGATATTGATACACGAAGAAATCTAATTTATTGGACTTCGGGTAATTTATAAATACATAAGTTTTATTTATCTAAATAACATAATAATTAGGATACCAAAATTGTTTTAGCATGAATATGATTTAAATAACTTTCTGAAAGAATCTCTGCACCATGCAACACATTATCTTGTTCATGAATTATTTATTACTAAAACATTTAATTAATGTCCTTTAAATTATTAAGCAATTATTAAAATTGTTAACTTTAAAATAAAATCTAATTGTTACTATTAGTATAGTTAATATGAAAATTGTATTTTCTAAGTTCTATCTAGGTTTTAAAGTGGGCATTAATGAAAAATGGATTAAGAATAAATAGGAGTAGGATAGAGTATATGAAGTACGAGTTTGACAAAAAGGAACACAAGATAGGTGAAATGAGGAGATCAGTGACAATAAGAGAAGACAATTTTGTGCAAAAAAAAAAGGTGGTATTAACAATGATGTTGGTTAGGTTTAAGTGTGGGTGGATGAAATAAAGAGAAGCATCTGGTGTGTTATATGATAAGAAAATTTAAGCAAGGCTGAAAAGTAAGTTCTGTAAGACTATAGTGAAACCAGCTATGCTGTATTGTTCTAAGTGTTGCGTGTTTGACAAGAGAATAAAACAGAGAAAAAGTGTTGTAGAAATGAGAATGCTTAGATGGATTTGTGGAATGACTAGAGAAGATAAGATAAGGAACGAACATATAAGAGGGAGTATAGATATAACGTCACGCGTGCATAAGATGAGAGAAAATAGACTTTAATGGTTTGGTCGTGTTATGAAAAGGGAGGTATTGGAAAACCAAAAAAGAGATGAAGGAATGTTATTGGATGCAATATGTGGACGGCAGATGTGTTCTTAGATGATATGGGTGATCGTGTCAAGTGGAAGTTTAGGATAAGGGTGGCCAACCCCAAATAGCTGGGATAAAGGCGAGGAAACAGAAAAAGAAGGCAGTAGGTTAGTAACGACATTCTAATATTACTGATGTCAGTGAAATATCTACATTTTTTATTCAATACTAATAATTTTAGCACCACTGCATATATATTACTTAAATTAAAAGACATCATTATGAGTATCAAAACGATAAAGATATATAAGTCTTAAAAATGGTATTACAATAATATAAAATTATATAATATATACAGAATGGAACAGATCTAACTAACAATTCCTTTAACTTTTGATTAAATTATAATGGTTTGATAAAAATTTTATGAGAAATACTTGTTAAAATAAATAACGCTTAATAATAATTATAATATACATTTTATGTAAAATGTTTTATGTGTTGTACATCAATTTATAGTTATTTAGTTAGTATATTTGTGATCATTTAGAAGGAAAAAGTAAAGTTGATTAGAATGTTGAAAAACTTTGATAGAAAATATAAAATTTTATAGATTATAGAAATCTTCAAAAAAAGCTATAAATAATATACTTTAAATCAAACTAAGTTAACTAATATTCTATTTTTCCATATATTTATTTAATTATTATTGTTAGACTAATATTGAGTTATTATGTTTCTATACAGAAGAGTCTGGTATATTGGTTTGTATGAATATGGAAGAAGAAAATAAAATTTTTATGCAAGACTTAGAAAATCCTGTGCTAGTACGTGTTGATTGGTTAACAGAAAATGTTTACTTTGTTGAAAATCGACGAAATATTGTAATTTGTAATCTTAATACAAAACGTTGTGCACATATTTATAGTGCTAATATTCATTCAAAAATTACGGCATTAGCTATCGATCCATTGACAGGGTAAATTGCTTTTATTAAAATGTGACATTATATCATATTGAGTTATTTATAATTTTTCAATTGTAGTTTCATATTTTGGGCCGAGGGCACTTGGTCTTTATGGAATTCTCCACATTCTATCATTAGGCGCTCAGATTGTAGTGGTCATAAAGTTAAAACTATTCTCGATCAAGATTTACATGAAATTACTGATTTAACTTTAGATCCTATTAAACAAATAGTTTACTGGGTTGATATGCCTGTTTCAACTATTAACAGAGTACACTTTGATGGGACAAAAAGAGAAATGTTAATATATACAGATGTAAATACATATTATTTTTAAAAAAATGTTATTTGTCACTTCATAATGACATTTTTTTATTAAGTTGCTAACATACAATGCTGTTATTTTTATTTTAGCACATTCCAAAGTCCATATCATTATTTGAAGATAAACTTTATTGGTCTAACGATGCAACTGGATTTTCTATTTTCAAATGTAAGATTCTAGCAACTTCAGATATAAATTGTGAATCGGTTAATATTCAAGTATATGATCCTGTGGAATTATTTACTGTTAGCCATCAGTCTAAACAAATAAATGGTAAGTATAAATAAATGTATTGTATAACATTTTAAATATAAAAATTATTGTATTTAATTTAATAAATAAAACACAATAATATTGTATATATTGTGTTATTTTTCAGCTACTAATCCTTGTGAACATGTTAAGTGTGATTTCATTTGTACACCAGGATCTAAAGGTGCTATGTGTGTGTGTGAAGATGGATCACAAGTTGAACCTGGTTCACCGTGTGATGTAAATTCTATTTTTATAATATTATAGTAATATATTTTTAATGTTAATTATTTATTGTAACTAGGATGCTGGTCATCGGAAACAGCCTACGTTTAGAGACTTAACCGAAAGTAGTGATAGTAATATTTCTATGTACATGGCATTATTTATCCTACTAATTTTAGGACTTTCGGGATTTTATTACTACATGTATCATTACAAAAAGAAGCCATTTATTACATTACCTGGGTAATATATTTTGAGTATTTAATACATTGGCAAACATATTTATTTTAGTAATTGAGAATTTAAAAATGAGTTTATAAATAAATAATAAAAAAATGACCTAATAAGTACTTTCAATCAAATGTTTTTTTTATTTTTAGTTTTGTCAGTCAAATTTACCATTGAATTAAAGAATCTATCTTTATCATAAAGAAATAATTTTCTTATTAAATTTAATTAAATAAAATATTATTTATGCTCCAGATTTCATTTCCATAATCCATTATCATCTGTTACTGAAGTAATAGACAATAGAAGAGTAAATGTTCAACGCGTGCAACTGGAACCTGGTCAACATGACTACGAAAATCCATTATTAAATGAGGTACTTAACTGAAGTATTAACATCACTTTTATTTTTTATAGTGCTCTGAAAGAGTCTATGATATACATGGAAGAGCTTTTTATATTTTGAATGTCTGAAACTCATGTACTATGAACATTTAATAAGATAATCGATTTTGGAATTCACACCTAATTTTAATTCGGTTTCCTGTAATCGAATATCTATTATTTTCTGTATTCTACAATATATAGTTATTACGATAAAGGGAATTTAGTTGCTCCAAACTCTGCAATAGCCTTCCAAAAAATGATGAAAAATACTTGTATTTTTATATAGAAATATTTTTTACCGACCCAACTCAAATATGTAGAGTTCCCCATCAAGTTTTGTAATCTTTAATTACTTTTGATCCATCAAATATTTTGCATTACTTTTTTTTCAAATAATTTTTTCAGATTTATTAATCAATTAGTAAATTGTTAGATTAAATATAGATAAAAAGATTATTTTTATTAATTATCTGTAATAAGAAAGAAATAAAAATTATTAATTTCTTCAAAATTTCAAAACGTCCAGTTTTTACTCCTTTTCTTACAAATAATTTTGATGAATCAATAACAAGAAGGTTTTTATTTTTTAAGTTAATTTATTAAATTTTGTTTTCGTTTATTTGATTATTTTTATAATTCGGACTAACAAACACAAATCAATAATAATGTTTGATCTATTCTAATCCAACCTGACTTGGTTTATATAAATAAAAGATCTGACCCAGACCAGTGGCATATTACTGAGGAATCCATGATATCTAGACCCTTCATCCCTTATGGACATATAATAGTAGCGAGAAAAGCGAAGAGGTGAATCTCTCCATTACTCTATGTTCTAAAGCTATCTGGACCCCTCACCCTTCCTTCATACAAATTTTTTAACTAACCCAAACCAAAACATGAAATAAATATTACAGCCCCAATTCGTCTTTTGGACTAGGTTTAATATGAATCAGATCAGGCTAGTCTGGTCTGAACTAATTTCAAGTAAGTAGATAAATATTTTTTAAAAACATATTATCTAAATTTTTGTAAAGATAGTATCATTGTAAAAGCCCCTTATGTTTAATATTTGAAGAATTCAGTGCAAAAACTTAATATGTTCGTTTTTAGAAATATTTCTATTTATTTAGTAATTTACTAAATTATTTTATAATAATAAAAATAGTAAAAGGTTTTTCCTTAGGTAAAAATCTCTCCATAATAATAATAAGTATAAAATTTATTCTTGCACTGAAATATGCCAAATACGCATATATATTTAATACTACTGAAAAATGATTTTCTGAAAAAATGGATATACTAGATTTTTGTAAAGGATGGATCATCATTTCTGTAAGTGTATATCCAGTAGCGAATATACATATAGTAGAGCGCAGAGAGCAAGAACTAATATATTCTACTTGAAAGACGAATTTGGAAAAATAAATTAAGTCTATTTTAATGTTTAAAATGTGTTTTTTAATTGAATTTACGTCTTGCTTTAAAAAAAATTTAGTTGTACACCTATGTACATTGTAGTTGCATCTGTTTTTAAAACACAAGTTTGAGTGACAATTTAATTTCAACTAAAAATATTTTAACAAATCTTACCGTATTTATAAATCTACTTTTTCCGCCATATTATAAAAATCCTAATATCTTTAAATAAAACTTAAATTGGTACTATTTTAAAAGAGATAGTGGTACAATGGGACCATTTTTTTTTAATTATAGAACATAGAGTACTATTAACTTCTCAAAAAAAAAAAAATTATAGTATATTTTATATTTTTAAAGGTATTCCATGAGTCATAGTTAAACAACACTATTTTTACATACTTAATTTATATTTTAGGATAGCCTACAAGATATTGCTACTAATGAAGTTGTTCTAAATTACAATGATGCGAGATCAGTTTATGATAGTGAAACTGATTCACAACGAAATTCTATTGCAGAGTATGGTGATGATCAAAGAAAAAAACTTATAGCATTTTAAACTAATATTTCAAAAATTTAAATTATTAATCCCATAAATGTGTATTACCGTTTAAATATTATATATTATATTTTGTTGTATTTTAAAAATTATATTATTGAATCTTATTTTTTTACTATAATTATTTTTATTATACATTTATATTATTTATAAATTAATTTAGAACAATTGTCAATTTATACAGTTATTAAAATATCAACTAGTGCTATTATTGTTATTTTTTAATTTATAATTTATCTTCATAAATTTTTAGTTTGATAACTTAAAAAAGTGGAACTTAGTGATTTATTCTTTAAAATTTTGTGTATGAATCAATTATTTTGATTATTCGCATAATATGTAAAATATTCTATAAATTTTTTATAATGCACAAATAAAATTATTTACATTATTTTTTAAATAAAAATTTTGATTATTTTAATTATAGACTTATCTCTTTTATTCAACTAAAGTTAAATTTGTGTTATCAAATGTTTATATACTTATTGTTAGATTATTAATTTTGTTATTTATTTTTTTGTAAGTAATATTAGTGTATATTTAAAAACTAATAAAATAATTAATTTTGTAAATTAATACAACTAAAAATATTTTTTCTTTATTAAGATAAATAAATTTGAAATTGCTAAACTTTTCAATTGATCGTTGCTCTATTTTTTGATAGTTTTTTTAAATTTGAAATACTGTTTAACTATTTATTTTTAACGTTTTCGGCTAATTCATCTCCCATGATAATTTTTTTTTTGATAAGTAATTATATTCAAATGACGATAAAAAATAACTATAATTTTAAGCTTGTTATAAGACTTTGAAAGCTCGAAAGTTTGAATTTAGCTATTATTTATTAGTTATTCTTAATTGTATTTATTCAAACTGAAAAAAACATTAGAAATTACAATATTATGTGTTGTTATTTAAATTTGATGTAATGCTATTAGAAAAACCTTTACCGATTTAAAATAGCATTATTAATACATAAATTGTGTTATTTTTATTAGAATTACAATAATTTAAAATATATTCAGATTTATTTACGGAGAATAGTTAAATGCAAAGTGTACCATAAACATAATGTAAGATAAAACGATCTTAGAAGATCATCAATGTCAATTGACTGCGCGGTTTAGATTGCAATTTACAGTATCGAAAAATGTTAGAAATAAGTAAAGCAATTGTAAATACTTCATGAAATTGAATATTTATATATAGCCGATAGGTTTTGATTGTAGTATCCAAATATATAAAGGGAATACAAAGGTAGTAATAAAAGGTAATTATAAAATATTGTAAATAATAAATGTGGAAGGCCTCAGAATACTAAATTGTGATCGCACTATGGGCTAAAGCAAAACAAAATTTAGCTTGCTTTATTTTCAAAATTTTTATTAATAACTTTTAATACCAATTCATTCGTCCCTTGGTATTTCTTCTACACTTATAAAATTGTCTTTTGTTCATAGTTTATAAATAAATGATTTCCCATACGGCGATACATCGTGTAGTATAATTCTGTACGTTATGATAAAAAAACTCAGCACAGTGGGGACGTGGCATAGTTGGGTCCAGTATAGATTTGATCTGACAGTGATTAAAATCACTATCATAAGTAACGTTTCGATGCAAATCTGTAGGTAGTGTTTAATTCTAAGAAATTGGTGGATAATTACAAAAGCAACATCAACTTCTATTTGCTTAATTATATTCATGATTAGTAATTCTTTTACTTAGAATTCTAGCAACATGTTACGAAAAAATTTGGAATGTTATAGATTGGTAGTAACACACACAAATAGAGTAAAAATATTAATAAATTTCAAAATAAAATTATATAATATCAAATCTAATTCGACAATAAATACTTTAAAAATATTAGAAATGAATGATTTTAAGTGTTTGTATGGATAAAGCTGGTTAAGATACTTGTTATTTGATTAAGGGATTTTTTTTCAATTTTTGAGGGTAATTGAAGATAACTAAATACGAATTGTAATCATTTGACGTATTGTTGAAAATAGTAGGTTGGCAAAATGAATTGTAGTCACAAAAAAAACCACATAGTAAAATTATATTAATATGAATAAGAAATTTTTTCTCACGAGGGGAGACTATAGTGATGGGATCCTAGATATTTATTGAAGCTTTTGGATTTAAATGAGATAAAAATCAAATGATTTGAAAATTTTTTTCTAACTAAAAAAAAATGCAAAATATTGAAGCGAATTCGAACCTCGTACCCTAAGCGTATAATACACAAATGGTACCGATTCAGCAACTGTTCGTTAGTTTCGTCGTAAGATAAAATTGGCATTTTAAGCTAATTCAAATTTAAAAATTACTTTTTCGACTCTAAAAAAATTAAAAAAATTTAATAAGTTTAATTTCTTATGTCTTATGAACTTTATTCTATGTCAATTAAATTATATAATATTCATGAAAGTCAGTGTATTGCCCTTATAAGATATTTTAAAATAAAATAAAATATAAAACCCAGGATTTTAACACAAAAATAGCATATTTTTGAATACGGTAGCCATTTGCGAATAAAAGATAGATCGTCAGAACAAATTTTTTTTTTTTAATTTTATAGTACATGACATAAGCTTTAATTTTATACATGTTGAAAGGACGCAGTATTTCCAGAACATTTTCAAATGTTAAGTTGAAAAAGTTAGTTTTTTAAAAAAGTTACTATTTTAAATCCCAATCCTGTGAACAGGTTAAGTGTCAGATTTACAAAAAAAATATACCAAATGATAAGTAAAGACATCAAGCATCTGTGAAAAAAAAAAATTTACTGATCCATACATTTTCCAAAAAGTTATAGCATTATAAAGTTAAAAATATAAAAAAGAATTATTTTACAAAAATCGTGATTTGTGATCTTTTGTTGACGTATTGTTGAAAGAAATCCGTTCGGTGAGAGCTGAGAAAAAGTGGTAACAGACACACAATATCCTGAATGAAAAAGGAATTATTAAAAAATATTATTTCTCATAAAAAAATTGTGATGATCCATACACTTTTCAATAAGTTATAGCATAATAAAGTTAAAAATGTAAAAAATAAATTCGAGAATTTTCACACAAAAATATCATTTGGTAGCCATTTTCACCACGAAGACAAGTCCAGAGGTCAAATATTTTTTTCTATCATTAAGTACAATACATTAGATTTAATTTAAGATATATATAAACATGTCAGACCTTCCGGAACATTTTCAAAAGTTAAGTAGAAAAAGTTAATTTTTTTATGAAAAAGTTGTCATTTTAAAGTGTCAGATTTACAAAAAAAATATACCAAATGATAAGTAAAGACATCAAGCATCTATAAAAAATAAAATCATATTAATATGTTCGTTATTGAAAAAGTTATGGCAGTTTTTAGTAAAAAAATTTTTTCGAAAATTAGCGATTTTTAAATTTGTAATTTTTTTGGAGGTTTCCATCATTTACTAGGAACGAGGGAAATTTTTTTAATTTTTGAGGGTAATGTCTTCGACTAGATACAATTTGTGATCTTTTGACGTATTGTTGAAAGAAATCCGTTCGGTGAGAGCTGAGAAAAAGTGGTAACAGACACACAAAAAAAAAAAAACACATTATAGTAAAACCAATACCTTCTCAGCTTCGCATCGAAGCTAAAAAAATTGAATTAACTACATATTATTATTATTATTATTATTATAGTTTTTTGAATCAATCAATTTTTTTCTTTATATTACCCTAATTTGAAAATATTCAAATGTTTTTGAGAAAATTAATGTCTTATCTTTTATTAATCACCCTATATATAAATAATATAGGTTAAACAATTACTGACTTAAACTAATTTGTAATCAGATGAAGGTTTTTGAATCATTCTTTACTATTAAATTTCTTTCTTTTATATATATATTTCAAAACATAGTATTATTAATGATCGACAGTTATGTGTTTATTATTGTTATTATTTTTGTAGAATGAGTACAAGTTTAGAACATATAAGAGAATTTATCCAAACGGTAGAGAACAAAAGCTGATGTTTTTTTGTCATGTAATTGATCGAATAAAATGGATAAAATTAAACAAAAAAACGAGTTAATACCAAAACCAGATTATTTGCATGAAAAAATTATTTTTCAATTTTTTATATTCTAGTAACTAAAAGAATAATTAAGATGACAAGAGATTAATAATATATTAATAGTAAATTTATTATTTGAAGCTATAGAAATATAGAAACATAAAACACTTTAATTACATTTTAAAAAATGTATGGGAAGTTTTTAATGCATATAATGCATTAGAAATTGGGAAACAGTGATACACATAAGTTAGCATCTTTTTTTTGGTCATGATGCATAAAATGGGTTGTTTAATAACGATCGTAGTTTTATAAACTATTTTTATCTTATTACTTTATGGTCTTGGGACCCAACAATTATGAAATTCGTTCCATTCGACTCCCCTCCCCTTTTGATATATAAATTATATCAATTATATGCATGTTTATCTCAAAACTGTGTCTCAAAAAATTTCTTTCTTAAAGTGGACGTTATTTGAAATATATGAATAATGGAAATCATTATTAGAACTTAAAAAATGTTAAAAAAAAAAAAAATTATAAAAATATTTTTAATTATGTTGAAAGTAACATAACTTTTAATTAGTATTTCGAATTTTACCGCAGTGAATAATTTTAGCAGATAAATTATTTAAAATTACATAAATTTGATTATATTTTTATAATCCGTTCCACTAATTTGAATGAACCATGTTTTAATATAAATTTCATACATAAATAATTTTTATCTATGAGGTTTATCTTATTATTGGTTATTATGATTTAATGTGTGGTCAGTTGTCTACACTGCTAATGCCGATAACGTTCAAAAAGAAATAACGGGGAAGGGATATATTCGTTAAGCGACAAGCGTTCCCTCTTCCCTGTCGCCCCATAACAACACGGACACGCCGCAGCCGCCATTATTTAGCCCCTTGTCGCTATTGCTAATTCGTTTTTATTGAATTCTTTTTTGAAATTTACTCGTAACTTTTGGATCCATTAATACTCAAATAATGTCAACTGAATGGAAATATGAAATCAATGATTTAGTTTGGTATGTTACTTTTGATTCCATATAATTATTTTATGTACTTTCTTTATTATCGAAGTTAGAAATTTTACATGAAAAGACCGCGATTGTTAACGCCATATCATGTTTGTTTACAGGGCCAAAATGAAAGGTTTCCCGCCGTGGCCTGGTCGAGTAAGTATTAAATATATATGAAAGATAAAAAAATGTAATAGTTTTGTAACCGTTATATTTTATAAAAAAATTTTATTTAATTGGACTACTTTGATTTATTGTAGTCCTAACTTATGAAATATTTGTTAAATAATTCACTTCATTGTACCAGTTAAAAATATAATTATAAAGTATAAGAAGTTATTAAAGTTAGTTAATAGCATTAACTTATTATACTATATCTTTATACAAACTGAAGTCAATTTATACGTTTTTATTTAGTAAAATAATAATAATTCTTTTGGGTTTTTTAATTTAGATGTTGAAGCCAAAATATTTTATGATAAAGCATAAATTAGATATTAGGTTAGGTATATCATTCACCTTTTACATATTTTAACTTGTCTTAATTATTTTACTTAGTAACATTTTAATGTATATTTGATTTTTGAATTTCTATTTATGAAAAAATTAAGTTTTCCTAATGTTATATTTTATATAAGCAGTAAATTATTTATTAAAATAACAAGTTGTATTTCTTAATGAAAGGTTAATCATAAATTTATCTTTAGGTAAGTGAACCATCTGAAGCATTACAAAAAATTGCCAAAAAAAATTCAAAATGCATTTTTTTCTTTGGATCAAAAAATTTGTGAGTACTAAATTATTAAAAATATTGATTAATTTATAATTTAGATTTTATATGTATTTTATATATCTATTATAGTGCCTGGATTGAAATTGGATGCTTAAAGCCGTATTATGAATTTAAAGAATCCCTTAGTATAAGTTGTAAAACAGCCACTTTTAAAGAAGCATGTAAAGCTATTGAACAATATATTCAAGATACAAAAGACGTAATTATTATTTTTTAGAATTATTTCTATATTTTTATTGTTACAATATTTTCTTACAAATGTCTGATTGTTTTAAGGGCAAAAATAATGGAATTACTGAATCAGAAACTCAATTTGAAAATTTGGTTAAAAATGATACACCTAGTCAACCCGTAAAAAAAAAAATTGTAAGTTTTTATAACTTATTACTAAGCATTATTTTTTTAATACTGATTCAAAATATATGTAAATTTATATTTTAAGAAAATCTGAACATTCAAAAGTTGAAAAAAAAATTTAATGTAAAAAAAAGTTTTTTTTTACTATATAGAAATTAAATTTTGAAATCATCTACTCCTGTTGGTTTTATTGACAGACTCGAGAACTAATAGGATTCCTTTGGGATGGGGTCTTTCCTTAACCTCCAGAGTAAGGAAGTATAGCCTAAATTCAACTTATTTAACTTATTTATGACTCAAAGAGTCCAAACTAATTAAAAATTTTTCATCAATCCCTTTTAACATTATTTGATATAAATGGCTTTGTGTGTCTTCACAAGCACCAGAATAACTGAATATAATTGTGGCAATGCTAAATAGTAAATAGAAGTCAGGGTCCTTGGTGTTTTTCACTAAGATCTATACTGATTAGCGAATCAGCCACCAAGGTATAAAAAATAAATAGTTGCCAGAATTTTGCTTACCAACAGTGTTCAGCACTAAAGTATACCATTGCTCTTGTGTGGTTTCCCAGCTAATTACTTTCATAATGGAAACACTTGATAAAGTCGAGAATATACATGAATTTGCAAACCAATGGTGATTGAATAGGAGTTTCCTCAATGATGGGACAATTTGGAACAATTGAGTAGGTGTTTCAATGTGCAATATATCATGACCATTGCTATAAAATTTGGAGTGATGAGTTTATAATTAATACCAAAATTTGGTTTTTATCCAAAAAGATATCACAATTTTTATTTTTTTTTAAACTTGTAAAGTTTAAGTTGCTGTAATTTTTGAACTTTTAGTTTCCACTCCAAATTTTTTACATATTCATAATTGGTACCAAAAAACTTAAAAATTAAAAAAAAGGTGCTCAATAAGTAGATAAAGAATTTTGTACTTTATGAATATTTTTTCATATTCTCTTAATTTTTATTTTATTATTGCTCAGTGACTGTAATTGTCTAAGTTATTAAGGTACTACTTCTAGCTAGCATGAATGATGTTATTTTTTACTGTAAATTGGACTGGGGTAAAAGTTGAAACCATCAAAATAATATAACTGATGTAAAGTAGTCAATCTCAGTCCCTGATTTTTAGTTGTCTGTTATATAAGGCATAATTCCAGTAATTTAAATTTTTCTAAATTATTCTTTGATGAGTAAAAAATAATAAAAGTCAAATGATATTTATAAATAAATCTTTATTACATTTTATATTTTTTGTATACAATATATTTATGAAATTAGGTATGTATCTAATTTTTAATTTATGATCATTATATTAGATTTTTTGACTCGAGATAGTAAACAAATTATTGAGGTACTTAAATATTATCATTTAAGACTGTCATACTTTAAATTGTTTTGAATTATCAATTAGTTAAATAGCTTTTTTTTTTTAAATAGTTAAGTAGATTTTTTTCTTTCAAATTTACAACATAATAAAATTAAGTTTTATACATATGAAATTATTATTCACTATTAATAAAATTAATATGTTTATTTTTAGTCAACTAGTGTACGTAATTCAACTCCAAATTCTTCTGTTAAAAAGAGAAAGCCTCAAAATGAATCATCAGTGTTTGATTCAGATGACACCAAAAGCAAACCTAAAAAACTACGGCTGAATTCCAGTATGAATAACACTGATATTCTGACACAACTTGGGCTAACTACTAATAATCATTTAAATCCACTCCGTAAAAATAATTCACTCTTAGATAGACCAGAAGTTATTACACCAGTTAGTATATATTTATTTACGATGAATCATGTATTAAAAATAATAGTTAAAAATTTTATTTTATATGTAGGAAAGTACACCTTTAGATGTAACTAAAATATCAAGGTCATTGATGAATAAAAATATTTCACCTTCAGACTTGAAGTTTGGATTTATTGGTTTAGGAAATATGGGAGCAGGAATTGTCAAGAACTTATTAAATTCTGGACATAAAGTTGTAATTTGGAATAGAACAACAGAAAAGGTAATCATTTTTATTATTTTATAATAAGTAAGAGGTATTTAGTGTGGTGCAGTAGATCATTCCACTTTAGTGCTGAAGTTCCGTTGAACTGTTTAGTATTAGTTACCAGATGAGTGACCATACCAGAAATTGAATAGTGACACACACTTTGCCTCATACAGGCATCATCAGCCATAATTAGGTACAATAGGTCAAGAGCTGGTGTAAAAATCCTGTAAAATTATTGTAAGTCCCAATTCTAAATAGCTGAGACAGAGGCTAAGGAGATAATGATGATTTTATAATGTTGTGCAGGCCCACATGGTAAAAGGAATTAAACTTAATAAGAAAACGAAAACACTCACTTTTCAATAAAAATTTAGAATATATAATTTGATTGACACAATTAATAATACAATACACGTTATTTATTAATAATACAAATGAATAGAATAATAAAATAGAATGATATAGAATGAGTGTACTAGTGCATACTAAACCACGACTGACTGTAGGGTACTATAGGGAGACCTTTGCCCATGGTTGCCCTAAAACCCTTGGTCAGCACATTCCTGTGTTCGACGACAGTCGGACGACCATGTATTCTATACTCTACTCAATTATAAAATAATATTCAGGAGTTCTTAACACCCCCCAACCTAAATGAGCAATGGGGGTCCAATGATTCACATTGACTCAAGGGAAATCAGATAAATAAAGTTATACAATTGCAAAGGGATTTAGAATGTTTTTCATATTGGCGAATTATATAATTTAAAATAGAGAGATTCAGAGTTGAGTATTAGTAATTTCAGTGGTATATACATGAATTACTTTTTTCTTACACTTAAAGAATACAGCGACAATTATAATTAATATGGTACAAATTGACAAACAAGTATATATGATTACAATATGATGATAATGACTTAGTAAAAAATTATTGCTATTTGAATTTGTATACCAATTTGTAGTATGTCAGACGACCATATATTCTATACTCTACTCAATTATAAAATAATATTCAGGGGTTCTTAACAATAATAAGGGAGAGCAAAACAATAATAACCCTTCAAAAACATTCAATTAAAAAATTTGTATAAAAATGATTCTATACTAGTTTAATAGTATGATAACATCAGCTTTTGTTCTCTACCGTCTGGATAAATTCTCTTATATGTTCTAAACTTGTACTCATTCTACAAAAATAATAACAATAATAAACACATAACTGTCGATCATTAATAATACTATGTTTTGAAATATATATATAAAAGAAAGAAATTTAATAGTAAAGAATGATTCAAAAACCTTCATCTGATTACAAATTAGTTTAAGTCAGTAATTGTTTAACCTATATTATTTATATATAGGGTGATTAATAAAAGATAAGACATTAATTTTCTCAAAAACATTTGAATATTTTCAAATTAGGGTAATATAAAGAAAAAAATTGATTGATTCAAAAAACTATAATAATAATAATAATAATAATATGTAGTTAATTCAATTTTTTTAGCTTCGATGCGAAGCTGAGAAGGTATTGGTTTTACTATAATGTGTTTTTTTTTTTTTGTGTGTCTGTTACCACTTTTTCTCAGCTCTCACCGAACGGATTTCTTTCAACAATACGTCAAAAGATCACAAATTGTATCTAGTCGAAGACATTACCCTCAAAAATTAAAAAAATTTCCCTCGTTCCTAGTAAATGATGGAAACCTCCAAAAAAATTACAAATTTAAAAATCGCTAATTTTCGAAAAAATTTTTTTACTAAAAACTGCCATAACTTTTTCAATAACGAACATATTAATATGATTTTATTTTTTATAGATGCTTGATGTCTTTACTTATCATTTGGTATATTTTTTTTGTAAATCTGACACTTTAAAATGACAACTTTTTCATAAAAAAATTAACTTTTTCTACTTAACTTTTGAAAATGTTCCGGAAGGTCTGACATGTTTATATATATCTTAAATTAAATCTAATGTATTGTACTTAATGATAGAAAAAAATATTTGACCTCTGGACTTGTCTTCGTGGTGAAAATGGCTACCAAATGATATTTTTGTGTGAAAATTCTCGAATTTATTTTTTACATTTTTAACTTTATTATGCTATAACTTATTGAAAAGTGTATGGATCATCACAATTTTTTTATGAGAAATAATATTTTTTAATAATTCCTTTTTCATTCAGGATATTAATAAAGAAATAGCAGATCATGTAGCTTTTGGAATAATCCACCAATTTTTTAAAATTAAACACTATCCAAAGATTTGCATCAAAGCATTTTTTTTGATAGTAATTTTAATCACTGTCAGATATCATTATACTTGATCCAACTATGGCACTTCATCACTGTGCCGCGACCCCCCTGTGCTGGGTTTTTTAACTCTTTGTGGGTTAAAAAAACCTTAATTTTCTTTAATGGCAGCCCTATTTTTAGTTTAATAATAAGGTAGAAAAAATTATTTTTTATTAAATGAATCGTTTTTCTGTAATTAATTATTAAAATTTAGCAATTTTTGACTAATTTACCATTTAATATACAATAGTCTTCATTTTTCTGTCACATAAACAAGCATATAAAAAAAATAAAGTAAAAGTTTCTTTATCCCATCAGGGATAAAAAAAATATGTATATATTATAGTGTTTTGGATCAGTTAACATTTTCCTTTAAAACAATTGAAAATATTCAATATTCTTTTAAAAATTCCAATATTATCTTAAGATGATTTATGCATAATTAACCTAGCATAAACAGTCATTAAGTATGTAGAAATTGACAATGATTATCAAACATCGATATAATTTTGATATCTACAGTATTTTTTTGGTAAATTTTCAATATTAATATTGTATTAAACTATTATTTTATACAAATTATTGATTTTGATTTGAATGGCATTGTCAAAAATAAAATATTATATTTAATTAAAATTTTACATTTTAAAAATTATATTTTCCACACACATGATGGTTTATTCCTTTTTTTAGACATTCCTATAATGCAATACCAAAGTTATAATGTAATTATTAAAAATATTATTTATCTTGATTATTGTTATATTGCATATTGCAACGAAATATCCAAAAAATTGAAACATATAATAATAGAAAAAAATTATGTTGAAGACCCCTTTTAATTTTTAATAGAATGAAAGATTTTGAAACGTTTTTCATATAAATATTTGAACTGCTAATTCCATATGCATAATTTTTAAATTACTGATATAATTTTAAGACTAATTTATATATATTTTTAATAATTGTATAATTCATATTGGTAACTAACCAGCTGAAAAGTTATTAATCAATTACTCTTATAATTGTTGTTGATTTAAGTGAGCAAATAAAACATTTTAACTTTATCAAAAACAATTCCAGATAGTTTTCAATTAATGTCTTGTTTAGTTCTTTTTCAATTTTCAAACAAATTCTGTATAACTACCAAAAATGGAAATTCTCATTATAAAAATTTCCAATTAAATTAATCACAATAATCATGTATAAATTGTAATTTTTATTAGTGATAAATAATGTTTTAAATGTAGTTTAAGAAGGCTATTATATATATATATAAATGTTATCAAATAATAATTATTAAATATTTTTATTGAGAATATCAATTTTATCTTTTCTAATCACAAATATTTGTGACTAATACTTAATAAATATAAAAAAAATGAGCTCTTTAGTAAATAATCAAAAATATGCTGCTATAAAGGAGAGGGGTTACTTGTTCAATACTTAATAAAATATTCATAAGTGACCCTGTTCTTTTAGTAAATATTTGTCTCTCACTTTGGTATTTAACATACCATCTACTCTAGTTACATATATGTGCTTGAAAATCTCTGTTAAAAAGATATACAGATGGTCCTTATTTAACATAGAAGCAATATAAAGTACTTAATAAGTTAAAAAGAATTAATTATTATGGTTAGAAAATAAGGTCATCCTAATATTTAAATGTTACTTAATGAATAAAGTTGTTTTTTATACATTTTTTTTATCAAAGTAGATTACTCTTTATTTATTTTCAATAAATCAACTCTAAATCACTGGACAAATTTGTTTATATTTAATTAACTATTTTATATTGAGATTTTTTAAAAATGATTAGCTTAACAAAAGTATAATTTCATAATGATATAATTTGTCCGTCTATTTTTATATTAATTACAACACAGTTTATAATTATTACTATGCCATTTTTAATGTTATTGTTGATGACTAAAAACTCCCACTTTTTATTATTTGAAAAATCATTAAGACTCTAAAATATCTATCTAGAAGACATAATGACTTTTTAATAACTCACTATTTTTTTTATAAAAATGTATATAGCTAAATTGTTTAACTGAATTTTCCTATGAACAATCATGAAATTATGTTCCAATTTTATTTGATTAAAAATAAAAAATATTTAATGTACAAATAAATAGTTACAAAAATACATTTAGATTTTAATTTGTACTTATTTAATAATTCAATCAACATGTGTAAAACAAACTTATGTTACATTAAAATTACTAAACATTTTCAGGAACATTGTTCTGTTTATCTTCATTTTGCATTTCCATTGAATTTTGTTTTACTTTTATACAATTCAGTCTATAAAAAAATTGTTATTTGTAATATATTTAAATAACTAGAAATGATAAAACTTAAATATTACCTTTTTAGTAGTAATTTTAAGGCACAACATAAAATAGTTAGCATTAAAAATCCCATAGCTGATAATATTCCTAATAAAAGGGCATTAATTTTGATGTTAAAGAAAAATTCACTTTCTAAATGTACTTCAATTACTTGAGAATCATGACCATAAATGTTAGATACATAGCATGTGTAATTACCTATGTTATTTCTTATCATACGTGAAATATTTAAATATCCATCTGAATCAGTAAAAATTTGTTGATTGTTATTTACTGACACCATATCCCAATCGTGGATTTTAGGGTGTGATGAAATATTTCTATCATTTTCTTTGTTTTCATGATATGTTAAACCACCAGGTATTAACCATGTTATTGCAGGCTTTGGATGACCAAAGGATTTGCAAACTATTTTGCCATTTTTAGTTAATTTTAAAGTTACAGATCCGCTAATGTAATAAATTTTTGGTGGACAATCTAAATTATCAATAGCTGATAATTTTGAGAAGTTTTTATATCCTTTTATTACTGTTGTTTCTTTATACCATTTTGTAAACCATCCATTGTAACAATTTACTGGAACTTGTATTCCATGCATGTATAATTCTCTAAGATTTTTTAGAGATGCAATACCCATAGGTAGATTTTGAATATTACTACAGTTGCTCATATTAATTACTTCAATATTTGGAATTTTCTTATCAATAAAATCTTCTTCTATAGTAGTTAAATTAATGCAGTTATTTATATTAAGAATTTTAAGGTTATTTAAATCACCAATGGAACTCTGTATGTATTGAATTCCGCTATTTCCAATATTTAAGTATTCTAGATTTTCTAAATTTGAAAATATACCATTGGGTATTGTAAGTAGATTGAAGTTTCCCAAACTAAGATATCTTAAACCTACAGATTCTTTAAATATGTCCTGTGATAATGTTTGAAATAAGTTATTCTCCAAATTAATATTTTCAATCAAATTAAGACTAGAAAATGTATTATCTGATAAGGAACTTATATGATTGTTTGATAGATCCAAGTATTGTAATCTTGGGATATTCACAAAAAAACTACTCGATATATTATTAATTAAATTATATGATAAATCTAAATATATTAATTCACTTTTATTTAAAGGACCAACTGTTGTTATATTACTCATTGACCATGTTAAATTTACAAGTTTATCATCCTTTAAAATCTGATTATTTATTGTATGGCTAATATAAACTTCTGTAAAGTGGATAGTTGTTATGTTATTGGGGATATTGATAGGTAATTGTAATGATAACTTGTAACAAGTTATGGAGAAATTGTTACAATTACAAACCATATTATTCTCGCAAATAGTATTTCTGTATTCACAATATATCATGTGCATTAATATAGTAGTAAAAATGAGTATCACAAGATTCATATTCATCTAAAAATTTTTAAATATTTTGTTAACTTAATATGGTAGTATATGAGATAACAGTGTAATGTATTTACCTTTTTTTTTATATTGTGTATTACAATGTTTGTAAGATCTCATTTGTCCCATGTAGTAAAACGTATTTTTATTACTTTTAGATAATTATTAGCGTAAAATACTAAGATAAGTAATGTTTATATTATTATTCGTATTTAAATATTTGCGGTATCGACACTTGAATTGAGAACATTACTAGTAATTCGTTAACGTAACTTTTGCTTCTGAAATTTAGTTGATTTTCACCGCGTCCCGCGTAGTCCTTAAAAAATTGATAGTGGGGATTTAAAGACAGTGATACCAACGCAATGAATATTAAATTTCTCTCTTATGTTGTACAAATATTAATAAAATTTACTTAAGAGTCGTTTTTTTTGTTTGATATAAGAGTTCATCATTTTTATTTAAAATTGTATATACTTACTATTCTTTTATTGTAAAGTTTTTTCAAGAATTTCCATCAGTACTCATTTATAACAACTAAATTTTAATATTTAAATAAAATATAGGTTTCATTTTGTTGTAACCAAACCAACTTATATATGAAGAAATGTTTTGAGCTTTGTAGTTAATTTTGGGATTAAATACCATAAGTATTTTTCAATAGAATCCCTCTTAATATTTTGTTTTAATAGAACTTTTTTTGTTGCTTTATTTGAATTTTTTTATGTGAAACCATTTAAATTTGATTATTGATAAATTTTACTTAAAATTATGATATGAATCCACCTTTTGAATTTTTGGCCTAATCAAGTATTTATTTGTACTAGAATTTAATGTATAAATATGAAAATTAAGAATTAAAAAAATTGTCGAAATTCAATGGTCAAGTTATAATCAATAACTTATAACCTCCACTTATTTCAAAACTTATTGTTTATATTCTTTCATTGAGAATAATTTTATCAATAGTTTTGTGTGATTAACGGTTATATACTCTTAATAAGAAAAGCTTGTATTTTGTAAGTGTCATAAATACAAAATTTAGTACTATAACTAGTTGTCCTAAATAATTTCAAAATATGTGATAATATGTTATTACACTGATTCCTTCAATTAGATTGCATTTTATATGTATATTCTTTATTTATCATGAAATTTTAATTTGTTATACATTTTTTTAATTGTAGAGTCAAATGTTTGAAGATGCAGGTGCTGTAATTGGCTTAACACCATCTGATGTTATTGGAGGATCAGATATAACATTCTCTTGTGTTTCTGATCCACAAGTTGCTAAAGACGTAAGAAATAATCCTATAAGTTATAACTTATTAAACTAAAAAATCTTAATTTCTCAAGATTTTATTTAAAAATTGTAAATACTTTTAAGTATGATAGTTGAATATAATGGAGTTTAATAAATATTTGTATTTTTATGTTATTATATATATGTTTATTAATATTATTTTTTTCTGTTTTAGATGGTATTTGGAAATTGTGGTGTCCTTTCTGAAATAACACCTGATAAAGGATTTGTTGAAATGAGTGGCATTGACCCAGAAACTTCACAAGATATTGGAGAGGTATAAATAACCTAAAATATTTATTTTGAATTTCCAAAATTAGATAATTATTTGCTTTAACTAATAATTTTGGATTTAAGGCTATTATTAGCAAAGGAGGTCGTTATTTAGAAGCCATGTTGCAAGGTAGTAAGACTGAAGCAGAAGAAGGCAATCTAGTATGTATGGCTGCTGGTGACAAAACATTATTTGATGATTGCCAATCAACATTCTGTGCTATTGCTAAAAATTCATTTTATCTAGGTATTACAAAACATTTTTTTTTTTTTTTCAATATATAAATTTTTTTTAATTTTTGGCTAATAATTTAGGCGAAGTTGGTTCAGCAACCAAAATGAATTTGATTTTGCATTCAATTAAAGCAGTTACTTTAGCTGGACTAGCTGAAGGCATGGCTTTAGCAGACAGAGCTGGAATATCACAGAAAGATATGTTAGAAATTTTAGGAATGACATCACTAAAATGTTCTTTACTTATGGAAAAAGGAAAAGGTACATTCACATTAAATTTTAAGCAATAATAAAATTCATAAATATTTTAAATTTTAGCAATGATGGAAAATAATTTCCAAACTCATCAAGCTTTGAAGCATATACAAAAAGATTTGAGTTTATCATTAAATTGGTCAGATACATTAGAACAACCATGTCCAGTCACAGCTAGTGTAAATGAAGTATTCAAACATGCTAAGCGTCTTGGTTATAGTGATCATGACTCAAGTGCAGTATATGTTAGAGCTAAGTTTTAAAAATAATATTGCCTTTTTCCTTTTTATATTTACATTTTTGACAACTGACAAAACGAATCTTAGTATAACAAATTAATTTTGTTAAAAAATTGGTTTACATATAATTTTTTTTACATTTTTAAGTTATGTAATTTGTATATATAAAAATGTGAATATTGTTTTTGCACATTAATCTTTTAACATCATTATTCATTATAAATCATTTATTTTATAAACAAATTTTTTAATTTCCAATTTGATGATTATGTTAATTTTATTAAAGAAAAATATATATATGTATATTTAGTAATACACACGTGTATAAACAATATAATGTATAAATATTACATAATATCATAAATTTCACAACCCAAAAATTCTATTCATGATTATTTAAGTAAATAATTTTAGTTATTAACTTGAATTAGTTAATTAATTTTTATTAAATTTAACTTAATATTTTGGTTCCCATAAAGATAAATCATTCAAATAGTATATTTGAGAGTGAATAATTACATATATTCCAGAAAAGTAAAAAGTAGTGTAAAATGTTTTATGAAAAGAAACAACTGTATACTTGTAAATAGATTAGTAACTTTTACTTTTATTTTAAATTATTAGATTTATTAAAAACAAAAACTATAATTCAATAACTTATCAGAAATTTATATTTTGTATTTTCCTGATTTTACCTGTTTTACATTTAATTCTTATATAAATATTTTTTTTTTAACAAAAGTTTGTAATCTATGTTTGTATTGACATTTATTAAAGATGTTTCTGAAACCAATATTATAGTAAAGCTAAATGTGTAAATTTTATTAATAATTAGAAAGCTTATAAAAATGACAGACAAATGTCTTTTATTATTACTATAAAATATGTTGTTTTATGCAACATACAATTTGGTATGGTAACCTATGTACATTATTAGACCTTACTTGTTTAGATAGTAGTCACTAATGATTAATGTATTAATTTGTATAGGGATAATGAATCAATTGAAATAATGTATGAAACTTAGGGATTTATTATTAAAAATACATAAAAATTGGTTATTTTTTATAGTTTTATTTGAACATTTTACAAATTTAGTATTTTTATTTGCTCTCAGATGTTAATAAAATAATAATGAAGCTTCATTATAACATGTTTCCATAACATAAGAAATCATATTTTGATTTTTTACTAGATATACTTAAGTTTTTTGTCTACCCTCTTAATTAAATTTGCATGAAAGTGCTTAATTAGTTATTGTTGAAGTATCATTATTCTGGCATATAGCAAGACTTCCGATTAGGGGAAAAAATCACTGTGTATTCACTTGAAAAATTATACTAGAATTTAAAAGGATTTCAAAAATCATCAAAAAATAACTACCTAAATAAAATCAGTCATAATACAGAAGGGTTGTGTTAAACGATTTATTTGATATTTCTCATTCTAATACATTAGATATGATGAAAATTGAAGAAGATAAAACGTTTTTGTTGATACAAAGACAAAAAGGTAGACCTGGTTGCATGTGGGCATCGACAACAAGTTGTCTCAAAAGAAAAAAAATGAAATAAAAAATTATAAAATAATTTAAAGAAAGTTGGACTAGTCTAGATTTGATGAATTTTGATATTGGTATCAATGATATAATTATAAAAAATGCAGTTGAACACTAAAAATAATATAATATTTTGTTTGGAAACATTAATGATTCAACAATGTAGATATGACTAAAGAATTTCACGAATTATGTGTTATTTTTTTGGGTGCAACACCTTTTAATGGTGTAAAATTTCACTACCCTGGTGTTATTCATCGCGCTAAATGAATGTCTAAAGCAATTTAATCGCTAAAAATGTACATCTTCAGAAAACAATTAAAGCTTAAAACATGAGAAGAACATTTAGTGATATTTGTGTATTTTTGTTAAAATTTTATTTCGAGGCTTGGTTTAAGGGATCTATTGCCATACAATCACCATTATATGATTTATGTTTCTTAAAAGTTTTAATTAATTATCCTGATTCTTTTATATCTAAAGCTGCAACACAGAAATTTTGAGGGCATTTATGGTATTTATCACTTGTAAAAGTAGCTTTAGCATTTTTTTATGACAGAGTACCGGAAGATATTAAACTAAAAATAGTTGAGACATCATAAAAACAGCATAAAAAAATTACAATAAACCTAAATGATACTAAACTACTAAAAAAAAAAAACTTGATAACTTTGTATCGCCAGAATCATTAAATTTTTTTGAAAGGTTTAATATACCAATAGATTTTTTAGGGGTTAAATATTTGACTTATGAGTTTATTTGTTAATAACCTTGTTTATGTAAAATAATTAAAAGTATAATTTCTTTCTTATAAAATTTTACATAAAAATCATACATTTTGAGATAAAGCACAATATCTTAAAATTACACTTTTGAAACTTCTTTCGCACGTGTTAACGTCAACCTATCGGAAATAAATTTTGCAGTTTATTTTTACATGTAGTAAAACAATTTTTTGGTGTGCGTAAATCGAATTTTGAAAATTTGTATTTTAAGGACCCCTTAATACTTATAAGTCAAAAAACTAGTAATCAGCATATAATTAAGGAAATAGTAGTTGAATTGCTTTTAGATTAATTCAACTAAAATCCTTCTAAAAAATCAGGTCTGTTAAAAACATATTAAACAAAAATCCTGTTTAAATGTAATAACCCTGCTAAAAATTAAAAACTACATATAGATTTGAATTAAAGCATTTTTTATGATAGTGATTTTAATTACTGTCAGTTACCAATCATACTTGTCTCAACTAAGCTGCGATCCCACTGTGCTGGTTTTTTTTTTATCACAGACTATATTATAAAATGTTTTAGTTCTTTACACAATTATGGCAAGATTTTGTTATTTTTCGTATCTAATTGTAAGTGTAAATTTTAAGTAAAAAGAGTGATCATATTTTAGTAGAGCATTTTTAAAAGTAATTTCATACATTTGGAGTAAATAATCTTGCAGGGTAATAATAATAAAAAAATAAGAGTATCTATAACGCTTTTTTTTGTGTACTAATTTATAATAATTATATATATTTGTATACTAATTGTAACTAGTTGATATTAATTTTTCCCAATTTTTTTTACTCATTTATGAAATACGTAAAAATTACTTTAAAAAAGTTGAGTAATTTCAATCTAATTATCATTAATTTGTACACATCTTAAGATTTACTAGAATTTCATATTAAGAAGGACCATAGTATGAAATTCGATTTTATTATTCATTAATTAATTTTAGAAATAAACATTGTTGTCAATAATGGAGTTTGAGCTACCGCCTCTCTGGATACGCCATTGAATGTACTCTGAAAAATAGGAACTACACGTAATTAGATTTCAAATTAAATAAAGAATTTGTATATCACATTAGGGTATACAGAGTGATTTTTTTTATCATAACCCACTCAATTACTTGCAGAATAATAATAATTTAAACATTTTTTTTTTTTATTATCTTTAGTTACACATTATTCTTGAATTTTTAACTATGTAATACTTTTTAAGTTCATCCCTTATGCCTGGTAAGGGTGTCAACTTTGTTTTTTTAAATGGTAACACATATTTTTAATTTAATAAAATGTTTGAGTTTTTAATTCAATAGTAAATGGCATTTGAATTTTTAATAAAACTTAATTTGTTTATTAGATATAAACATTTAAAGTTTCAAATTTTTGAGTTAATATATAGGTATAATACACAAGGGATTACAAATACAGGTAGCTAATTGATTTTTTATGACATCGATATTAGCAGGTACACAGCATTGTTATGATCAATGATAGTAAGGTACATTGTTGTGAGTTTATAAATACACTAACTGACAATATAAAAAGTATATCTATTGATAGTCATAATTGATAATAAACAATCTGTTACTGTGATAGCAATATCATAAAAAACCAATTAGCTACCTGTATTTACAATCTAATGTGTATTACACATGTATATTAACTCAAAATTTTGAAACTTTAAATGTTTATATCTAATAAGCTAATAAAGTTATATTAAAAATTCAAATGCCATTTACTATTAAATTAAAAACTCAAACATTTTATTAAATTAAAAATATGTGTTACCATTTAAAAAAACAAAGTTGACCCCCCTTCAAGGTATAAGGGATGAACTTATAAAGTATTACATAGTTAAAAATTCAAGAATAATGTGTAACTAAAGATAATAAAAAAAAAAAATGTTTAAATTATTATTATTCTGCAAATAATTGAGTGGGTTATGATAAAAAAATCACCCTGTATATACAGAGTGATCAAAATCTAGTAAGACACTCATTATCTCAGAAAATATTGAGAATTTTAAATTTTATTATAGAAAAAAAATATCAAGTTCAAAAAACTACAATAATATGTAGTCAAACTATTATTTTTTTTGTCCCTTCAAGGATAAAAACCCTTATTTATAATTTTCTTAAATGGGAACCCTTATTTTTAACTTTATAATATGATAGAAAAAAAAATTACAAACAATTTTGTTCTTATCATTTTTTTTTATCCGGTTAACCGTTCGTCCGTTATAGCTTGTTAAAGTTAAGTGATTTTAGGCCAAATTTCTATTGTCATTTTACTGTATTAAATACAGAAGTCATTATTTTTATTTGCTGTTGCATAAACTAAATTTTATTGATCAAGTTATGACAGTAAATTAGCTATAAAAATTTACTACGCACTAAATGAGTGATAACAATAATAGATTCAAACCAGTTTTCGGTGTATTATTAATAGCTAAATCAATGGTTTTGTAAAACTAAAAATCTCACAAAAATACCGGTTGCACTGCCACCGATATTATGAAACGTAATAAATGACAATATTTTTTCTGGAAGTCAAAATCTTTAAACAATTATAGAACGTAAACGGTTTTTCGGATAAAAAAATTATAAGAACAAAATTGTTTGTAATTTTTTTTTCTATAATATCATCAAATCAAAAATAGTGGTTCCCATTTAAAAAAATTATAAATAAACATTTTTATCCCCGAAGGGATAAAAAAAAAATTATTTAACTTCATATTATTGTAGAGTTTTATAAACTTAATATATTTTCTTTTTACAAAAATTTTAAATTCTCAATAGTTTCTGAGAAAATAAGTGTCTTACCATATTTCGATCACTCTGTATATACAGGCCCTTATTTATATAGGTAGATATTTATTTTAAATATTATCTACACAGTACCCTCTAGATAAGTTCAGTCGTATAAGATAATAATGTAGGCAAAATTTGGAAGATTAAAAAGTAAAAGTTATTTTTCAAAAATGTATTAATGCATAATGTACAATACTTTCATTACTGTTTATTATTGTATCAAGTTTTTAGTTTTGTTTATATAATAGTGTGGTGAATGGGTTTTTTTTTATTTTACTTGTTTAAACACGAAACCAAGTTTTCTAGTAGGACCTATGAACTATCAAATTACTGGAAATAAATTTCCCTTTATAAAAAATTGTTTAAGCGTGTTATATTATAATTTAAGAGTTGTAAAATTTAATTTGCTTGAAAGCGCGGCGCTTGTGGTGGAAGAATGCCTAATATACTGGAAAGAAGCTCGTGTACCCACGCAAAATCCAACTAATATTGTAAGAAAATTTAAAAAAATTTAAAAAGAACTTAGAAATACAATTTACACTGAAATTGTAGTACTACAAAAAATTACGTTATTACCTTTTTTTTATGAAGAAATTTTTAAAAATATTTTTGTAGATGCAATATTTATAGGGATAAACGTTAAAGACCAAAAAATATAATGTTTTCACGAAAAATAAAATTAAACAGCTTTTATTAGTTAAACGTTAAACAATCAATGTTATATAAAATTCGTAAAGGCTTTTTTTCTTTGCATTATTGTTTACTGCATTATTAATTCTGTATAAATTTTTCTATTTCTAATAATTAAAAAGATATATACAAAAAACTAAATTCCTACATTTTTTTGTCAATTTTCAACCCCTTTGAGGCCCGTGACGGAGTTTACCTAGGACGCCTAAAATTCACCAATAT